ACGGGTGAGTTCACCAGAGGGACAGCAGCCTGAACCACACGGGTGAGTTCACCAGAGGGACAGTAGCCTATACCACACGGGTGAGTTCACCAGAGGGACAGCAGCCTGTGCCACACGGGTGAGTTCACCAGAGGGACAGCAGCCTGAACCACACGGGTGAGTTCACCAGAGGGACAGTAGCCTATACCACACGGGTGAGTTCACCAGAGGGACAGCAGCCTGTGCCACACGGGTGAGTTCACCGGAGGGACAATAGCCCATACCACACGGGTGAGTTCACCAGAGGGACAGCAGCCTGTGCCACACGGGTGAGTTCACCGGAGGGACAATAGCCCATACCACACGGGTGAGGTCACCAGAGGGACAATAGCCCATACCACACGGGTGAGTTCACCAGAGGGACAGTAGCCCATACCACACGGGTGAGTTCACCAGAGGGACAGCAGCCTGTGCCACACGGGTGAGTTCACCAGAGGGACAGTAGTCTGTGCCACACGGGTGAGTTCACCAGAGGGACAGTAGCCTGTGCCACACGGGTGAGTTCACCAGAGGGACAGCAGCCTGTACCACACGGGTGAGTTCACCAGAGGGACAATAGCCCATACCACACGGGTGAGTTCACCAGAGGGACAATAGCCCATACCACACGGGTGAGTTCACCAGAGGGACAGTAGCCTGTACCGCACGGGTGAGTTCACCAGAGGGACAGTAGCCCATACCACACGGGTGAGTTCACCAGAGGGACAGCAGCCTGTACCACACGGGTGAGTTCATCAGAGGGACAGTAGCCTATACCACACGGGTGAGTTCACCAGAGGGACAGTAGTCAGGGGGACGGAGCTAGCGAGTAGGCAGGTCAACGCTGGGAGGGGGGGGGGGAAGGGGGCTGGTCACACCAGATGGGTAAGGATGCTGATGAGTGCATTCCGACTTTGCATGGTGTTTTAACAATGCGCAGACATGCATGACACCGGTGAGAACACTGGAGGACAGTTTGCACATGGATGATGATGAAGAACCCAAGGTCTGATGAGCGACATGAGAAGCGTGAATTGACTCATTGAAGTATTTATTTGTGCTACATTCTCACAATTAATCACTCATCAATGTATTCAGTCACTCATTTTCGTTGATATTCAGCATCAGTTAATCATTTATTCTAGAGTTTTATTGAGACCGAACACCCCACACAGTTGGTGTGCTCCCAGCACTGCGAGGCTGCATGTATGTGCAGTGGCCACGTAGAGGGTTCACGGGGGGTCAGCTCTGGCCGCTCGTGTTCATTTCGCCGTTCCTCGGTGTCGGCAGGGCGGCAAAATCCCTGTCCGCTGGACGGCGCCGGAGGCCATAGCGTTCCGCAAGTTCACGTCCTCCTCGGACGTCTGGAGTTTCGGCATCGTCGCCTGGGAGGTCATGTCGTACGGCGAGCGGCCCTACTGGAGCTGGAGCAACCAGGAGGTCATCAAGAGCATAGAGAAGGACTACAGGTCAGACCACACACCGCGGCGGCGTCAGACGGCTCCTGACCCGAGCGTGTGTCAGATTGGCGCTCTGCTCGGACGGGTTTTCGTCGTCTGTGCGCTACGGTCTGCTGAATTGTGTCAGTACGCGGGCTTCTGTGCCAGGTGGGGTTTTCTGTCATTCCAGTTAAAGGCGTTGCGCGTTGAATCAAGGTTTGCTGGTTGGGATGTTATCCGTTCCTTTGGCATGAAGAACAGTTTTTTCAAGATGCCAATCCGTCAGTTGCGGCGAGATCGCTGAAAGACAAGGAAAACAGATGCACTTTTACTCGTACGTGACGTGCAGCGGCATCAAATTCATGTGAACCTTTTCCTAAGTGCGCGGAAAGCGGCCCTTCCTGCTTCCCTCCTTGTCCAGGGCTCTTCCAGCGTGAGTTAGACGCTCCACGTGGCGTGACGTGCTCACACCCAGCCGTGCTGAAGTAGCCCGGCGCGGTGCGACTCTCCGACCCTCTGTGTACTGTCGTGACCCGAGCGCCCGCCGCCGCCAGGCTGCCGGCGCCGATGGACTGTCCGGAGGCGCTGCACCAGCTGATGCTGGACTGCTGGCAGCGCGAGCGCGCCCACCGACCGCCGTTCGTCAGCATAGTGCACACGCTGGACGGCCTCATCAGCTGTCCGGAGACGCTCCGCAAGGTGGCGCCCAGCAGGTGAGCTGCCGACAGCCGGCGCCGCCTGTCGCCGCCGCTGGGCATGCTGTTGTGACGTCCCGATCACCGAGTGGCGATCGTGACCACCGCCGTCATCTCCTTGAAATACGCTGACTTGTGTTAGTGAAGCTGGACGATCACATTAGCGTCTTTTGCCACGGGAGTGCACACCCTTGGACACGGGCTCGGGCTAGTGCAGTGTGTCTCGGAACACACTGGAATATACACTTCACCCCGGAGTAGGCGGCACCGTCTGCGAGTCAAGGTATGCCGGCTGTTTGACGCCCGCCGGCTGTCTGCAGGAGCACGAACCCGCTGTCGCCGGAGGCGGCTGAGCTGGCGTACGTCAGCACAGTGGAGGCGTGGCTGGCCTCGCTCAAGATGAGCCGCTACGTGGAGAGCCTGCGGGCGGGCGGCATCACCTCGCTGGAGGCGGCGGCGCGGCTCAGCCAGCCGGAGCTGGCCGCGCTCGGCGTCACGCTGGTCGGCCACCAGCGCAAGATCATGAACAGCGTGATGGCGCTGCGCGTCCAGGCGCGCGTCAACCGGCCCGAGGCCTGCTTCGTGTAGCGGCCGCGTGCGGCGCTAGTGTCGCCCGGCGGTGAGGCCTGGTGCTGCGCCGCGAGAACGTGATGTTTGTGGAGGTGTGTTTCATGGAGTGTTTATTCGTGTTACGTGTGGGAGGGCTTTTGTGAGTGATCGTATTTCGATGAACAATGTGAAACGAGGCGGTTTTTATCGCGGCGCGGCGTACTGGCGCCCGCTTTCCAAAGACAACGACTATGAGTCTGTGATTTTGTGATACGCGTCGTGTAATATTCGTGTCACTTTGGCCGTGAAGGACTGCTGATACTCATCTCGTATTGGTTATATGCTGCTGTATCATTCCCCTGCATGGCTTTGAAACGTTGCATTCCTTCCATTTTTGGCGAAAAGGGTGCGAACAAATTACGTTAAGTTGTCGTTAAGTCTTATGTTACATCAAGTGCACGTTTAGCCCTAGCGGTGGGCCCGGCTGTGGTAGCCATGTTCTCAGCCGGCGAGCCCCGTCGAGACGAGGGCGCCGGCTGAACAGGCGTAATTTGTGATCCTGTCCAATGTAGCAAACGTGGGGTCTTATTCCGGGCGACGCGCCGTGATTGTTTCAGTGCTTTCCTTTCATAGTATGTCATCGAATAGATTATTCCATCGGTGCTGTGTGTGGCTGCGCTTCGTTACTTTGCAGAGGGGGGGGGGGGGCGGGGGGGGGGCGGGCATGAGCAGGTGAACTAAACACTCCTGAGCGGTGATGCATCCAGCGTATTAGTAAGAGGGAGAGGGACGCGTAGATCGAGAAAGGGCCCACGATGAAAGGCCCCTGCCCTCACAAAAGTAGCCGGATTTGGTCCAATCTACTGTGCAACTAAGTTTTCCTCATAGGGAGATGCCGACAACAGTATAAAAAGAAGGGACGGCGCTGGAAAATGGGAGGGAACTGACAACACTAGGAAACAAAATTATGATGTGCATCCGTAGTTTTCCGAAACGTACATTACGCATTTTGGACCGGAGTGTAGACATAACATCTGGATAGATATACGCAGACCTCAGCAGTCACACCCAGAAGCCCACACAATATCGCATGCCCGCGCTGCCAGGTACCTGACAATGCCTTAAGGCGCGCTCGGGTGGGGCAGGGTCAAATTGACCCCGGAAGGTTTTACCGGAATAGTTTACGAAAAGCGCGGCGTAGCCGCGTCAAATTTTCCATAGCTATAAACAGTTGAATAGCGGATCGCCCGGCATCAGAAAATTTAGATGTACCTTGTAAGGTCGCGGGGCCTTATGGCAGGTCAAGTCAGGCCATGGATTCAGGAAAAACAATTTCTAGGGAATCGTTTAATCCGATCCAACAATGGAGTGTTAGACGAAGCCATTCATCTCTGAAATGCTTTCTTAGGCAACACAACAATTAAATTTACAAATTACATTGACCTAGGGCCATACATAAAAGCCAGACCAAGGTAAAAACCAACCAGTTTTATTACTCTAGGGCTTGCTGAATGGGGTAGTTTCTGGTGCTCATTTCGAATTTATTGATCGCGGGAACCGCATTATACACCTTCCATGGACTTCATAGGGGTCAGGATAGGTCACTGACATGAAATGATCCAGTCAACGTTTCGTTTTCAGGAACATACTGCCTGGCGTAGTATTTGTCGCTTATTCAGATACAAAACTGAAAACAGTCTTTTATAATTTCGGTCACCATGGCCTTCAAAAGGTCAAAAAGGTTACTGACCGTAAGTGGGCACGTGACCTTTTCCTTAGAGCAGTTATCTAGGCTCTGGGAGATCTATGATGATCAGCCTGAAATTTTCCCTTGTTTGACCTTACTTGACTCAAAGGTCATGCTCTAGGAACTTCGACTTAGGTGAGTTTACGTCTAGGTCATCATAGCCTGTGAATTTGGTGTCTCTAGCTCCTTTAGTTCCTGAGATCTCAGGGGGTCAAATTGACCCCTCATCCGAGCGAAGGGTATCCAACCGGCCTCTGGGCGCGTGTAAAACTTGAAAAGTTCGATTTCGCGTGTTTTCACTTTCGCGGTGACCAATCTCCTGCTTCTTGATTCCTGCTTATTAGAAAAACCCGCGCTCATGGCTTCCGTCGTGATTCGCTTCGGGGCTGAATCCCCTTGTGAGACAAACGGCACGTCTGGTTCCCAGCTGAATTCTCGCGTATGTCGGCCCAATGACGTCAAAATAAAATCAGCTGGCATCATTCCTCACAGCTGACTGCGGCGCCCAATCCACCACAAAGAAAAGAAAGGTTGAATGTATTGTGTCAGCTACTCTGGTGCCAGCTTTTCAGCCAGGTATGGGGGGCGTAAAAGATGTGGTTGATTCTTGGGTTGAATTATAACGAGCTTCCGCTGTTGTTGGGAATTTACGTGGATTCTATCCTAATATATATGTGAGCCTACCAAGGGCGGATCCGGGGGGGAAGGGGTGTGAGGCCATTCTGCTTTGTTGATGTATCGTGCAGCGCATATGTCATGTTTGACGCATTCCAGCTAGTCCACAAAAATCCGTCCACTGCAGGACGCGTGCAATCAGTGTGTTGAACATCTGGGTGATGTTTGCCGAGCTCGGGACAGGCCAAATAGCTAAACTTTCACTGCATTTTTATTAAAATGCTTCAAAGACACTTGCTTGAAATGGTATTTGCAACATCACAATTCCTTCAAGCAACAGCTTTCCATGTACTGAAATTGGTGTGCAGATCAGTGAGCATGTGCAGGTTTGCCAAAATATGAGTGTTCAGTATTACAGTGTACTTTTGCTGAAATTTCAGCAATGTTGCTGCCATTCTGGCTGTGCCAGGCATGTTTGGCATGGAGTATATTTGGATGTCCATGATCCCTCTACCTTTCTAACTGGTGTTTCCTTCTTGATCAGAGATAAGTGTCATACTACTTGGTATGAAATTGCCAGTTATTGCCTAGATTGCCATCAGGCCATTTTCCCAAGAAGTTGATGAAATGTTTCACTGTAATCTACTTCTGATAAAGTCAACAGCCATTCTTTTACATATGCATTCATATTTATTTGCTAGCCATTAGGTTAGTCTTTCCATTGATCAAAAGCTGTAGTCTAACAGTGTTGCTATTTTTGTGTGGTTTTCCCTGTTACTGCCACTTGTTGGTATGGTTCAGTTTCAAGCAAATGAAAGCAGAGAATCAAAGGAACTGTTATACCTGGCTGCTGCCAGCCAAGTTCACTGCACTGATGTATGCTCATGGCTAAAGGGAGTGCTCCACATTTATATATGGTTTTGAACTGAAATAGCTATCTTAAAGACCATTCAGTGCTGACCAGAATCCTGCTGTCCTAAAGACCTGTGCCCCACTAGTTTCTGAAGTACATGCCCACATAAATAGGGAAAAGTATCATGGGAGATTATTTCAGTTGCCTTGATGTTAGTGACATTATATTCATAATGTGTGTTGATGAATGAGTGATGTAAAAGCGCTGCATTTTTTCAAATGAAAGGAAACATTAGTATTAAACATGGCACACTGAAACAACACACTCTGAGACTCTGTGTCCTGAAACACAGGTGCATATATATGTATGGGTTTGCAATTTATGACAATTGCAGGCTGTGCACATGTACCCTCCAAAATGGCAGGTGGTTATGCACCAGGCTTATATACCTTTCAAAATGGAGAGTGGTTATGCACCAGGCTTATACGCCTTCCAACATGGCCAATGGCTACAATACGCACAGCCAGAGAAAAACAATGCACAAAAAATGCAAATGAATGTGCCATGGATGGCCACCTACTTATGCTCCACCACAAATATGCTACTCATGCTTTACCATGGTCACACTACTTATGCTTTATCACGGTCACGCTACTCACGCCCCACCAGCTAACTGGTTTTAAAAATGACTAAACACATTCATGCCCTCCACCTCCTGGACAACGCATGAGGCCCGCACGTCCCAGCCAAATAATAGAGACAGGCAGCACTCTCAACCGATTTACCGAGCCAGCGCAAGTAGAATGCCTGACAGACCCGTCCAGGCCGGCCAAAAGGGATCGGAGTCAGTCACTCCGCTGACTCCGGATGATAATACAATGTATTCATGGATTTTGATGTGCTTTTACCCATATTGTGAAACATGATAATTTATGTTGCAATTCATTTATGTTTTTGTCCTAAGAAACCCTTCTCTCTAATTTGCCGGGGCAAAGTTATGGGCTGATGTTACTCCGGTGTCCTGATGTTTCTGCCTGAGTGAGATAGCTGTCTCTGAACAGTTTTTTGACTTTTTATAGCAACGTTTTTGGACTTTAAGGTATATTTTTGTAATGTCTGAATTACCATTTCTATTTTCACACCCATAAGTGACAAATTTAGCTTGATTTGAATCCCTGGCTGCCATTTCATTTTTGTACTCTGGATACCAGATAGTGGCCAAAAATCCAACCACTTGGCGATTCTGGATGAGTACGAATAAGTCCTTCGTCATAATCGTGATGCCTATCTCTATACAGCTTCTTTCCAAATGTTTACAAATCTGTTCAAGGCATGAGCGCGACCAGAATATTTATGCACTTGACAAATCAGTCACGAGGAGGCGAATAATTAAAACCAATTGCAGAGTTTTGCTATGCTCAACCTCCAACCTGAGCTGGGAGGCGGGCGCAAGCCGCTGAATAGTTTACACGCTTCCGACGCTGAATTGCGAGTGATTCTCTCATTTGCGTTGCCATGCCAGTGGTGGCACATGCAAAGGCAGCCGTTTAGGGCGTAGGAAGTGAGAGCTTTCTACGCCCTTATTTAGCAATACTGTGCAATACTATGCTAATCTACAGACCGGTGCGATTCTGCCCCTCGTTTTTCGTTTCCCAGTATTGTTCAAAGGAGATCCCATTCAACATCCACACACTCCATACACGATTTATCGTAAACCTAGGTGGCAACGTGGGCTGCTTGCTATTGGGTGTCCTAGTCTGGTAGGTGCAAAATTTGTTCTCTTGCAGATATGAATACATGGCTCCTGATGGAAGCAGCAAGTCTCAAACTGGTGTACCTTCTGGCTTAATTTTGTCCTGACAAGGAAAGATACCATGAGTTTTTCCAAAAGCCGTTTTTGTTGCATGATGATAGAGTACACAAAAATTAATTTTTCCTAGTCACAATGCTGGAGAGCAAAATATCCTGGTATGCATTATACCAGGAAACATCAAGGTTTCCAACTCTTCCAGTAATGGGTCAAACCGAGGACTTGGCTGTCAGGGCTGTCAGGGAGACCATTTCTGAGGTGCCACTCTACATGAGGCAACAACAAAGTGCTAGACAAAGCCATACATTGCTGAGGTAGTTTTTAATACCAACAATATACCAACTGAATTTAGGAATACAATTTCCATCAACCCAGGGTCTGGCATGAAGGCCAGGCAGAGCTCAAAGCTAACCTGCCCTTTTGCTTAAAAACTTGTAGAGCTTTTTCAGATTTACTTATGACAGGAGCCCCAGCTGGCATGTTCCATGTATTTTTAAAAGTAAGATGAGGTCACTAACATAAGATGATCTGGACCAGTATTTGGTTTTAGGAACATACCACCTGGCACAATCCCTGATGCTTATTTGAATGAAAAGATCATATTCTTGAAGGTTTTTTGGTCACCTTAGCTTTGCAGAGGTCATACCAGGCCGCTGGTCTTAAATGAATGTCATTGATTTTTCGTTTAGAACAGGTTTTTAGATCCACAGTGGTGGCATGAGGAGGTCTGGGGGCACTGTGGACCTAAATCTGGAGTTTGATGTTGTTTGACCCTATTTGACCCCAAGGTCATTAACCTCAAAGTTGGACACAAGTGGACTCATGCACAGGCCATCCCACCCCATCCATTTGATGTTGTTAGCTATCTTAATTTCCAAGATCTTAGGGTGTGTGTGTGTGTGTAAAATTTACCCCCACCCGAGCGAAGGTTATTTGACCCGGGCGTATGTTGAGCTACCAGGAGAAACGATCTTTCCAATTAGCAGTGGGCATTCGCAGACTGCGTGCATGGGTGCATCAATATGTAGTTTTTGGGATATCTCAGCTGCTAGATCATACCTTGCGCATATTAATGCTTCCAACAGCCAGGGTGTTGTGTTGTCCAGCTGTGGCCGATGGCCAGCAACCTACCGCCACCTCACCCACCACTGCCGCACGCAGCCGGCTGTACCTGTGACCTGTTTCAGGCCGGGCCGCCCAGGTAAGTCGATGCGGTCCAATGAGCGCGACATGTCGGTGGTGGCGGCGCAGCGCGCCGACCTGGAGGGCCGACTAAGCCACAAGTCGCCGCGCTCCGCCCTGCGGGACGACCGGCCGCGCGAGCGCTGGTTCAAGCTGCGTCACAACCTGCTCTTCTACTACCGCCTCAACGAGCACGGTGGCGTGTCGGAAGACGAGGGGCCGGCCGGCCTGTTCGTGCTCGAGAACTGCCACGTGCAGCCGGAGCCGTTCGCCGCCGATCTGTCGTTCTGCTTCAGTGTCACGCTCAACAGCGACCCGGAGCGGCGCCACCTGTTCGCGTGCGTGAGCGCCGCCGCCGTGGCGCAGTGGGTGGACGCGCTGCGCGCGGCCAGCTACGAGGCGCGGCGCGCGCAGCTCCGCCAGCTGCGCAGCACCCTGCTGAACCTGACCGGCTCGGACCCGCTGCGGCCCTACCCGGGCGCGCGCACGCTCAAGAACGTGGCCAGCCGGGAGGAGGAGAGGCTCGGCGGGCGGGCCGGAGCGGGCGCGCGCACCGCCACCTTCTACAGTCACCTGGTGACGCCGAGCCTGCTGGACTGAGGCGGGACTGGGGCGGTCGCGCTGCCTGCGCGCGCGCGGGTGTGCTTGGAGCGGGAGGGGACGCGCCCGCGTGATCATGTGACTGGGGTGGTCGCGCAGCCTGCGCGCGCGCGGGTGTGCTGGGAGCGGGAGGGGACACGCCCGCGTGATCATGTGACTGGGGTGGTCGCGCAGCCCGCGCGCGCGGGTGTGCTGGGAGCGGGAGGGGACACGCCCGCGTGATTTCCCCGCGATGTGGGGCGGTCGAGTACCGTTGCCATACGGTGGTGCGTCTAGTAGTAGCAAAAATGTCACATTCATAGCTCTGAACAGAGGTGGATGAACGACATGCTGTGAACACAATATGTTGGACCGCGGGCCACCAGGTTACTTTCACGCTATCGCCTCATGGTGCGCCACGCTTTGGTCTCATGTTGCAAAATCATCGTCCAATTGTCGTGTTCTGTTCATCTTGTTTATACGTTCATTACACTAGGATCCAGGAAGGTGTGACATGAACATAATATTGCAAGAAGTGTTGCAGGATTAATAGTAAATCGCAGTTTTTCCTCACAACACAAACGACATAACAGAAGGGTGCGCACGGATGTTGGCGCATATGTGCAGTGTTTATTCCATATTATCTTTGTGTGTAAATCATCACGTTAATTAACCTCATGAAATATCAGCAATTCAACGAGGGATGCGCAGGGATGTTTTGTCCTATTTGTTGCGTGCATGGCATCTGACTTCTGTGCGGACCTCAGTGCAGCTCGCCAAAGGTTGTGTGGGGCCTGGTTCGGCGTCCTTGCCGATGAAAACGCCTGAAGTGGTAGGCAACCGTTCACGGAGACCAAACGTGGAAAGATAACTACGTGGATTTTCCGGAATTATAAGCGCCAAAATGACCGCGTGCGAAGCGAAATGACGAAATGGATTGTCTTCCATGAACTATCTGTTGCTGGGACGATGCATTTCTTTTAGCCCTTGTCAGTTGTTTGTTGGTTGTTAAAGATGGCAAAGTATTGGGCAATCAAATATATTTATGATCACAGATATAGTGTTGACGATTGCCTTGAAGCTGGCTTGAAGTTGGGTGAGCATGCGATCTTACGGAGCATTCTCTTCATACACCATCCTTGACCGAACCGAGAGCAGCACCAGAGCTGAAGCGGACTGTCTTGTTGCGCCGCCCGAGCTCAGCATCTGATACGGTGCAGCTGACCGAGTAACCGCCATATCCGGTCCTGCGGCACCAGCACCTCAGCGGCTGTTTGTAGCGCGGAGCGCCGGTCCGGGGAGGACCGAGACGGCCCCCTCTCGGCCGACGGGGAGGACCGGGACGGCCTCCGCTCGGCCGACAGAGGGGGGGGGGGGGGCGAGACGGCCTGCTCTCGGCTGACGGGGAGGACCGAGGCGGCCTCCTCTCGGCTGACGGGGAGGACCGGGACGGCCTCCGCTCGGCTGACGGAGCGTTTCCCACTTGATGGCGGCCTGCGAACATTTGCAACAGTGTGCGAACAGAGGCTGAGAAGGCCGCCCAGTTCTCGGCCTGTTCGGCTCTCACCTGCCGGGCCCGGCTGTTGAGCCCGTGGCGGGCAGGTGACCGCCGTTCCTGTTCCAGGGGCTCTGATGCTGGCCGCCGTCCGTCGTTCCGGGTCCGTGCTGCGCGCCGCTTCTGTCGCCAACATGGCCGCTCGAGCACAACCCAGCTCCAACATGGCCGCATTCCGGAAGACGCTGGCCGAGTCCAAGCACGTGGTCGTGCTGACAGGTGGGCGAGGAGCTACCAGGCCGTGGCCGGGGCCGTACCGTGCCATCTTACGTCAGGGGTCCTGATGTAACGCTTCAACCACAGTCTACCCTCGGTGACATCCATGCTACAACCGGTGCCGATCGATTGAATGATACCGTGTCTCAGTTGTAACCTCGGTATAACGTACCGTGACCTCGGTGTGACCTGCCGTGATCACTGTGTAGCCCGCTCTGATTTCAGTTGTAACCTCAGTACCGTGACCTCGGTGTAACCTGCCGTGATCACTGTGTAGCGCGCTCTCATCCCTGACGTGTATGACCCACTGACGTATGCGTGCCTTTTCGCGTTCACGTTACCCGCCGTGGCCTAAGCGCGACACGGCGGTGACCTCTGGTCGGCCATGACCTGACCTCTGACCCAGGTGCCGGCGTGTCGGCCGAGTCGGGCGTTCCGACCTTCCGCGGTGCCGGCGGCTGGTGGCGGAGGTACCAGGCAGAGAACCTGGCCACGCCCGGCGCTTTCCGCGAGCAGCCGTCGCTCGTCTGGGAGTTCTACCACTACCGGCGACACCTAGTCTCCGCCACGAACCCCAACAAGGTCAGTAGTCGACGTTCCGGGTGCGGAAGTGCCGCTTTCGTCTCCTTTGAGGCCCCATGGGTCATGGCCTTTAACCTGGTGGCAGACTCCTTTTTGTCGAAGTTGTTTGAGCTGTTACCGCACGACTCAGTGGCGACCCCAGGCTTGCTGTCGAGCTGTCTTGGACACAGAAAAGCTTGCGATGTATTTGGGGGTAGGGATACAGAGTATGACGTGGTCCTCATGGGAGCTGTCCGGTCGTGCAGGCGATGCGCCCTTAAGCCCTCCCGCCCTCCCCATTCTCTCGAGACGCCCTCTCGGTTTACGTCTGAACGCGATTCTCCGCCTGCACATTTTCTGTGGTGTCCATGCCTCCACGAAGTAAATAGTTCAACCTGATGTAACTCTTAGCTGAACGCAGTGATGATGCCGGCTGTCGTCTGTCCGCGCAGGCGCACCAGGCGATCGCGGCGTTGCAGGCGCGGCTGGCGGCGGCCGGCCGGCGTTGTCGCGTCATCACGCAGAACATCGACGGCCTGCACCAGCGCGCCGGCTCGTCGCACGTGCTCGAGCTGCACGGCGCGCTCTTCAAGACGCGCTGCACGCGCTGCGGTGACGTGCGCGAGAACTGGGACGACCCCATCTGCCCGGCGCTGGCGGGCACAGGGTGAGTCGAGGAGCCGCTCGGGGGGCAGGGGGGGGGGGGGGTGAGCGGCCCTGTGGCTACCTCTCAATCTGTCATCGCCAGAGCTCACGCCCCGTGAGCGGCAGGAAACCGGGTGTGGGCGCACGAAGCTCGTTGTTTCTTTTGGGGTGTTAGTTGGCGCATTGTTTTTTGCCCCGTCGTAGAGGCTAGCTGGGGTAGAAGGTTTCCGTTACATGAGGCTGTAAAACGCTATCGGGCCGTTTAGTGTTGTTATATGTCCACCAAGGGGCGCTGAATGCTTAGGTTAACATCGATATTTACATCCCAGTTAAGTTCATGATCGGAAATGTCTAAGCGTGGCCAAGCGTCACAAGCGCCTAAGCTTGCCGACGTAGTTAACCGAAGTGTTACAAGTGTCGAAGCCTCGTGCCATAAGTGTCTGAACCGGACTAAGCGTCTGAGCCAGACCGGGCGTTACTAACCGTCCGAGCTGCTCGGCGCGTCGTCGGCGCCTGAGCTGAACGGGGCGCGTGCGTGGCGCCGCCAGCGCTCCGGAGCCGAACGCGCCGGCGGCGCACATCCCCGAGTCGGAGCTGCCCCGCTGCCAGGCGGCCGGCTGTGGGGGACTTCTGCGGCCGCACGTGGTCTGGTTCGGCGAGAGCCTCGACCCGGACGTGCTGGAGCAGGCCCGTGAGTGAAGTGCCGCCGGCGGCGGTGAGGCCGGCCGTTTATCACACGGCGGCGCCGGCGTGGGGGGAGCTGCGTCAGCTGGGTGGTGTGTGTGTGTGTGTGTGTGTGTGTGTGTGTGTGTGTGTGTGTGTGTGTGTGTGTGTGTGTGTGTGTGTGTGTGTGTGTGTGTGTGTGTGTGTGTGTGTGTGTGTGTGTGTGCGTGTGCGTGTGTGCGCGTGTGCGTGTGCGTGTGCGCGTGCGTGTGTGTGTGCTTGGACGTGAGCGTGGGCGTGGGGATGTGCTTGTGTGCTGGTGTGTGCGCGTGTGCGTGTGCGTGTGCGTGTGCTTGGACGTGGGCGTGGGGATGTGCTTGTGTGCTGGTGTGTGCGCGTGTGTGTGTGCGTGTGCGCGTGCGTGGGAGCTGGCCCTGTGAGTAGAGTGTGTGTTCGGCGTGTCACGCATCTCCGGTGTAGCGTGTGCCCCCGTGGCGCGGAATCTGTGTATGTGTCCTATGGCCGTGGGCGCTGGAGAATGGGAGTGGGGGTGGGCATGTGTTTGATGAACCTTTGTGTGGTGGTGTGCGACATGGCTCGGTTATATATATATATATATATATATATATATATATATATATATATGATTGGCCTTCAGCAATGAACGTGTCTCCATTTAGCTTATCACCTGCGCCCGTGTGACCCACAGACACCGAGCTGGAGTCGTGTGACCTGTGTCTAGTGGTGGGTACGTCATCGGTCGTATACCCGGCGGCAATGTTCGCCCCGATGGTGGCCGAGCGTGGGGTGCCTGTGGCTGAGTTCAACCTGGAGCCGACGCCGAAGACGGGCGAGTTCGGGTGGGTGCCGCGCGTGGCGCAGGCGCCGGTGCCGTCGGGTGGCGGGCTGCTGGTTTGTGATGGCGCGATGTGGATCTCGTTATTCTGGCTCGTGTGGAAGGCTTGCTGTAGACTGATTATGATATAATGTTTCGTGACCTGGGTGCCACAATTACGCAGTTTAATGTGAAGGCTTCGTCATCAAGCTTCTACGCGCCTGTCACGTTTCTTCGTGTAAGATGTAGTGGTAGTCAGATATGCTTTACCATAAGACGTGCGAGCGCGTCCTGTGAACACAAATAATGTGCTTCACAAGTTGGAACTCAGGTGAAAAGGAGAGACTCACTCACTCATGTGAAAGCTCATGTAAGATTCCTTCCCTGACATAACTGGTGACCCCGGCCGTTTCAGGTACCACTTCGCGGGTCAGTGTGGTGACACGCTGCCGGAAGCCCTGGCGCCCTGACCCGACTCTGCTCCTGGCCAGTCATACACGCGACTCGTGCACGAGTCCCAACTGTGCGCACGCGCGAACTCTGTACCCGTGATGATAACGAGGTGGTGGCTGTTAAAAAAGCGCCCGCTGGTGGCTGCTAAGAAACGTCCGCGGAGAGCTGATGTAATGCATGCTCCCACGGTACGCCCGCGTCGGCCTGTTTAGCGGGCATGAATGGCTGTGCGCGGGCGCGTCTGCTTATGGAATGCAATATATCTCCAGGAGATAGTCTGAGCACTTAGAGATAGACACACACAAGAGATAGCACTGAGCACTGAGCACCACATCGCCGCGCCGCGCGCAGTGTGCGCATCCCGGTGCTCTGGGTGCCGGTGCGCTGGAGCCTAACGCAGGCCGCCGCCGTCCGGCACCCGTCCCGACGCTGCTGCCGGCCGACGTCAGCGCCCCGGGTCAGGTGTTCTTTGGTTCGCTTCGGGGGGTTCGACTGCCGGGAGAGTTGATTTCCCACGCACATTATCAGCCGTACATCGGTTTACAACTTGTTTGTTCTTTTTTGTGTGTGTGCAAAAGTGGTGAACGTATCAGAATGCGTTCAACCGTTATTCCCATCATGCCTAATTTCATTACCTTCACAGCCACAAGCTCTCTGCCCATGTAGGTCACGAGGCTAATATTTCGTTCGAATCGATGCTCCGCAACTGTAAAGCCTTCTCCTTTAATACACAGACGACTAAATGCTGTCGATACCGGTTGATACCAAGGTTACATAAGATTCCCTCTTCACGTGAATTGGTCGATGCAACGACCGCGCCCAGTTTTTTGTGTTTTGTTTTTAGATAACGCTGTCATTAAAGATCACGTTGAAGCTTAGGTTGACGTGTAAGCCGATTTTTTAGCATTTCGAAAATGTATTCTACCAATCTAGAAACGCCCAAAACGCGTGGTGTTACCAAATGGTAGTTGAACGGATGCTATCCGGTGTAAGCAACAGGGCCATGAAGAGTCGCTCATGCCCCAAATAGAATCACTCCTTGGACTGCTGCTTCTGGGTGACATCTGATCGACCCAGTGACTCTGCGGCTTCAAGCGCGGTTAGGATCGGCCGCCATGTCACACACCGCCGTACCGAAGGATGGAGAACTAAAGCCGGCAGCGTCCGGTGCCGAAACTGCGACGGCTTCAGAGTCTGCGCTGGCGGCGACGGCGGAGCCCTCCCAGGCATCCCGCGAGGCCGTAAAGTCTGCCGAGTCCCAGCTCGACGGCAAGGCCGGTGGCCAGGGGGAGGTCAACGAACCTCCACCACCGCCCGCCGGACCTCCACCGCCGGTCTCCGGGTCCTTGCCGCCGGCCGACGGGCCTACGCCGCCGGCCGACGGACCTGCACCGCCGGCCGACGGGCCAACACCGCCGGCCTCCGGGACTCCACCGCCGACCTCGGGGCCTCCACCGCCGGCCTCCGGGGCCTCGCCGCCGGCCGACGGGCCCTCATCACCGGCCTCCGGGCCTCCACCGCCGGCTGACACTGCCGCCGTGCCCTCCCAGCCGTCTGTGGCAGCTCCAGAGTCGACCGTAGCGTCGCCGGCGCGGTCAGATGGCGCCGGCGACTCCTCCGAGTCGGGCGCCGCCAGCCGGTCCCACTCATCCGATTCGCTGGTGACCGAGACGGGCGACGGGGAAGAGTATGAGGACAGCCCAGCGCTGGCGGGCTCGGAGTCGGAGCTCAATGGCACGGGGCGCGACGAGACGCACGAGCTGCTGCAGGAGCTGGAGACGGACGCCGTGGATCCGAACGACGGCTTCAAGGTACTGGACGAGCTCTTCACCGGCGGCAAGATCAACGAGGTGCAGTACAAGGACCTGCAGCGGAAGCACAAGTACCTGCAGTCGATGTTCTGGGTGTGCGTGCAGAACAGGGCCGGACTGAGGGACGACATTAAAGAGACGAACGCCTTTTTGCACGAGTTGAAGGAAAAGGCCAGGCTAGAGGAATCGAGTAAAGACAAGAGGGATCCCGTGGAAGAATTTCCTGAAATCCACACGGTAGCTGATCTTGAAGGCAAAAGTGTGGACGACCTTAAAAGGTATTTGGCGTCGTTTGAGCAGCAACGTAAGTCATTGGATAATTCGATCTATCAAATCAAATTTAAAACCAGGCACATGCAAGAGGAGCGGGAGCAGCTAAAGGAGAAGGTTGATGCAGACAATGTGTCTAGTTCAAAGATCTACTTGAATAGTCCCGCGATGCTGGAGAAAGAGGTTCGCGAAATCGGTGTTGAGATACGCGTTCGCAAGCAAGAAATCCGCAACCTGATCGACGACATCGACACCCGCGAGCGACTCGTTCCACAGAAGGAAGCCAAGATCAAGAAGCTGGAGGAGAAGATAGCGGTGCTACAGGATGAGAAGGAGGGGCTGCTGCCGAAAATGGTGCTCGTCACCCGAGACGCGGACCGCGAAGAAAAACACTGCGCCAAACTGAAGAAGCAGATGGAGGCGCTGGGGTCGGAGGTATCCGTCGTCATCAGCGAGCTCAAGGAATCCACCGACGCCTCCCAGAAGATCGACAACGAGCGGAACGAGCTGATCAAGGCCATGGACAAGGAGTACAAGCTACTGGACGCCAAGTCGAAGGAGTGCGCGAACCTGTCGCGCGACACGACCACCTGTCGGGAGCGAGGCGCGCTGCTGATGGACGAGAAGAACCGCGTCGAGGCCAGGCTGGCCATGTTGGCCAGCGAGATCCGCCAAGAGACGCTGAGCGAGCGCGACATGCACAAGGCGCTGGAGCGGGTGGAGCGTGACCTCCGCAGCGGGGAGCAGGCGCTGCGCGCGCAGCGCGACCTCCTGACGGCCACCAAGAACGAGATGGACAAACTGACCAAGCAGGTGCAGCAGCAGAGCCGGCAGGCGAGCGAGCTGCCGGCGCTGCGGAAGGCGTTGCAGAAGGAGGTGGACATCGCGCACGGCGACAGTAACATGCTGGCAACGCTGACATCGGTGGAGCTGCAGAACCTTAAGCGCCTGGCCAAGGAACGAGCCCGGCTGATCCGACAGCAGGAAACGCTGACCAAGTCGCTGGACACGCTGAGCAGGCAGCACAGCAATCTGATCCGGCAGCGGGACACGAATGCCAGGGTCCTCCGGAAGCTGAGCGGCGAGGTGGAGCGCAACGAAGACGAGCTGCGCAACCGCATCACCGTGGTGGCCAAGTTCAAGAAAAAGTACGAGGAGACTGAGAAGCAAACCAAGGAGCTGTCCGACCGCTACGAGCTGATGAAGAAGGAGCGAGACGAGATGTCGGCTCAGCTTAACATCTCGCTCACCAACTGCGACGAGCTGCTGAAGAAGACGCAGATCCTGCGCTCGCAGCAGGACACCATGCTGAGCAGGAAGCTGGAGCTGGAGCGGCAGCACGCCGTCACGCGCCAGAATACGCTGAAGACGATCCTCGACAAGACCATGACGCAGAGCACGATGAACCAGGAGAAGGACGCGATGAAGGAGTTGGAGGCTACGTGCGACCAGCTGGACATGATGATCACTTGCAACCAGGCGGCGCTCAACGCCATCAAAGAAACGGTCATGTCCGACCTGGAGGAATACAAGCGGCAGGTGGTGGACCGGAACGAGCGGGGCCTGCTGCTGGTGGAGCGCGACGAGGAGGTGTGCGCCTTCCAGGAAAAAATCAGCCTGCAGGAGCTGTTCATCGAACGTGGCTATGGCCAGCTGGACGCCATGGAGAAGGACATCTGCGAGCTGAACACGATAGTGCGCTCCGAGCAGCACCACATTAAGTGCTTGCGGGCCAAGCGCGCCGAGATGGACACGATGGAAGCCGGGCTGGCGGCCACACGCTGCCAGCTGCAGCAGCTCAACGTGCGCGCCGGCCGTGCGAGCGACGAGATGGAGACGCCCGCCCTGCGCCGGTGTCGCCATCTGGCCGGGCCGGACCGCGCCGACGACAACATCCCGGCGCACCTGTGTCGCATCGAACTGCAGCTGTACGAGGCCGAGCTGCGGCTGCTGGAGCGCCAGATGGTGGACGCGCAGCTGGAGCGCCTCGTCGGCCGGCTGCGCGCAGAGATCAACGCTACGCGCGCCGACTCGGAGCGCCTCGCCAAGCGCGCGAACGTCGAGAAGCGCGCCGCGCGCTCCAACGCGCGCCGCCTGATGGCTAGCGCCGCCGAGGCGGCCGGGGGGCGCGCCGCGGCGCGCCGCCTCTGCGAGGAGCGACTGCGGCTGACCGGGCTGCTCGAGGAGGCGCGCCGTCGCGTGGCGGCCGGCCTGCCGCCGGACGCGGCGGCGGCGGCGGCGGCGCGGCCGGCGCCGGCCGCCGCGACGCCGTCGCCACCGCCGGCTGCGCCCTCGCCGAGGCCCACGCAGTACCTGCCGGCGGCGGGCAGCGCGCTGCCCCTGCCGCGGCCGTACGGTGCGTTCGGGCCGTTCAAGCCCCAGACGCACGGCGCCAGGTTCCGCCAGATGCAGCGCATGGTGGGACGGGGTCAGAAACAGTAGCGGGGGGCCGGTGGCCCGGCCCGGCCGGACGCAGTCCGCCACCGTGCAGGAGATAGTGAGGCCTGCTCCGCGGATGCCTTCGGGCTCGAGATGGCGCCACTCACCCGACACAACTGTTGAAAATGGTGCCGGCTGAAATGAGCCCGTGCCATCGAGGCTGACTCAGTAAGTGAACGCGATGGAGCATTCGAAGACACAACCGGTGGCGTGATGCAGATTGTTATGTCATCCGTGACTGGTACAGTGACTGCCGCAAATCAACGACAGCCTAGACACGTGGTGAAGCGGAGAAGCTAAATTGTTTACATACACTAACTTGAACAGGGACGTAGGCGGCGCTCAGGACAGCTCGCGATTTCTGCCAGGGTAGCTGGCGTAGCTTTGTGACTCTCTTGAGTATGGTGGTGGTCTTTCCGGCAGCCAGTTGACGCAGCGTCCACTGTACATGCAGATCACCGGCTGGATTTGAGGTCATGGTACTGGGAGCGCTGACGGTGGCAGAGATCGTCACCAGTGTCAATAACTTGGCGTGCTACGAGCAAGCATATGAAATAAACCTGTGACTTCGCTGGTTATCTGCCGAGTTTGCCACCGTGCGCCGAGGACCAACCGACTGGATGTGAAATGTCAATAAATGTCCGCCAATATCAGGACACTTCTGGCTGCGCCGGGCCACTGGCTTTTCTTCAGGCATTACTCCGTCGTCCAAAGGAAACCCCCATATGTTCATCTTTGGCCATTTTGCGTTTTTTTACGTCGTTTGATTCGTCTCATCAGTCTGAATTCGGTCGTTCTATTAGTTAAAATTTTCACAAACTTTTAGCCCTTCAAAAAAATAATTTGTCATTTTCTCTTATGTCTTCAGAATACTGCGTGATTACGGACGCAAAACCACGTCTGTTGTCCCGCAAGGCATAAACCCATATAAAGGGAGCCATCTGTGGCTGGACACAATGGAATAAATCCGCATGTTTGGTTTTTGCGCGGCAAAATCTCTTATCTTGGAACATGGGAGATATGGCCTTTGCATTTTTCTACAAAAATTAATGTTGATTGGAAACATGGGGATTTTGTAAAATGTTTGATGTTTGGTTGAAAAAATACGGGCAGGTCGGTCGATCAGGAAACAACAGCAATGAAACAGAAGGGCTTTTGTGTTTTGTGGCACGAGGCACTTGCTGGTCGCAGCGACCAGGAAGTGGTAGCGGCATACGTTCTATATTTGGAGATGATGTGCCGCGATGTAGCTCACGTCGCCATCTGGGCAGACGATTGTTCTGGTCAGAGTAAGTGCCGGGCACTGCTGAGTGCCCTTCTGAAAGCTGCACACTCGGAGAATACCGCGACAAGATGTATTTCACTAAAATATCTTGAAACAGGCCATACATTCAGGTCCACGGACGCTGTCCACCAGACGGTGTCAAAAACCTGCGGAAAAACCACGTGGAGGACTTTCGCGACTTCGTCGAATCGTCAGTGGCGACAGGCACAAAGGTTATCAGAATGAAGCTAGGGCTCAATATGGCTCAAGTAGAAGATGGCATCAGCCGAGAACGCCTGAGCATGCTGTCAGACGAAGGGCAACGACCGTACTTGGTAAGTGTTGAGGTGGTGCAGTTCCGCCGTGGTTCAGAAGAACTATGCGCGGAGATCGCCCTGAATCAATGGACATGGACTGTCTACAGACTGACAAAGGCTACCTTTTCAGCTACGGATCCACTGGTGCCAGGAACCAGGGAAGCAGGCATTGAGAAGGAAAAGATCGGAACTATTTGCAAACCGCCCGTTCCCCATCTATCTGAGCACAAACGTGCTTTCTGGGAAAGCTTGAGGCAGCAGCCCACTAGCTCAAAGAAGACGCCAGCAGATCAACAGCCATCGCGTAGTGCCAAGAAGCGGAGTCAGTGAACAAGGCCACTCACTGACGATGAAGCATGTCAGTCCTCTATTTTGATTTTATGGCCCGCCAATTTGTTTCTTGTTTTACTGCCATTGTCTAGAATCGGTTGGATGTCTAACAAAAGTATCTTCCGCGTTTGTAAGGTCCCCAAGGATCGTTAAGAACGTATTAAGGCCAACATCAGATGTTGTACCTGTAATTCCGAACTGTACTGTGGAAACAAACGTTTCTTTACATGTTACGATAACATCGTGGTTTTGTTCTTGCATTTATTGCACGAACATGATGCGGTTTCTAACACTCCTAGTCAAAGTAATGGGGTTTCCCCTGTATCGCCGGAAAAATGGCACTTGGCCAAACCCAGTTTGGGTTTCTTTGAAGTTTCTACGTATATGCCGCATTTTATTTCTGCATAGCCGACCATGGGCAGACGACTCCATTCATGGTTTTTCACAATAATCAGAAGCTTACCAAGGTAACTGGAGGTGAAAACAGAAAAAACAGCTCCTGTAAAATTTTGTTCGGCGCGAAAACGCAGCATAAGCGGTTTCCCTTTGTATGGCAGTGCTGTAGCGAGAGACGTTGGTTTAATCGTCTAGAAGGTACGTTGAAGAGTTTGCAAGAAGCGCATTTGTGGAGTTTATACGTAACGCAGTAGGGAGAAGTATAAATGGCGATTTGTGGACTTGGCTTGAGACCGCAGCGTAAGATGCACGTCGGTCATTCCACATTGGTGACTGATCTGTCGTTTAAAGAAATGGCAAATGGCAATATGAATGAATAAAATAAAGCAAATGGCAATATGAATTCCTAGCGGCGTTAGCTGCACTGCAGCTGTCAGTTCCAAGGTCTTCCAAGTTGCACATACATGTACCTAACGATACGCGTAACGTCATGATCATTGAGACGAAAATGATCATCTCGCGCTCAATCCTTGTCCAGATCTGCTGCCGCTCAATCCTTGTCCAGATCTGCTGCCGCTCAATCCTTGTCCAGATCCGATTGCTGCCGTTCCCCACTGTTCCGTCGTCGGTGCCAGCCGCGGCCAGTGAAGTCAGCTGGCATTTGACCGTCCCGACCAGAACCGGCCTCTCGCAGGGCTTCTGCATTGGACCTGCTATGTAGCATGGAGTGCCCAGAACAAGGCCGTGCGGGAGCGCAGCCACCATCGGGCCGGCAGAACAAACGAAATGCTCACGTCTTGGCCAACTTTCCGTTAGCGCGCCTGTAACGCCTCGCGTGGCTACGCTGTCCTCTGAACAAGACTATTTCTGTTTCAACCTATTTAACACAACTATTGGAGAATCCATCGTCATACTTTGAACAGTGAGAGAAGCACGCTAACTGCACTTACGAACAAGCCCAACGGCAGCGTACGCGTACAAGCCCAACGCGTCTCCATCGCAGCGCCCCGCGTCTGCGATGGAGACGCGTCCAATGGTCCAATGGGCGGGGATAGCGACCCGAGACATTGGGCTCCGGCGCGACCGACGGAACACACGCCCAGAGAGGAAACAGTACATCAGGATCTGTCATATATATATTTATACATCATCCAACAAAACAGATGCTTCACGTGCGTTACTGAAGTCCGGGAAGCGCGGTGCGGCGGATGCTCATCATGACCTACCGGTCCACGCGGTCCCACATCAGAGGTCATCCTTTTGACCTCGCCACACTGCCCAGGGCGCAGCGGGGCCACCAGACATCGTGCCGCCGCAGACCGGCCACGGACGGACTCCCGGCGCAGAATTCCGCGGAGCGGACGGCCGCGGTCGCCTACTGCCGGCCAGCACAGCACCGGCAACTCGGCGCTCGCAGCGCCGCGCGTACAAAATGGAAAGCTTCAGTTCGTCATACGTCGTCTAGGTGGTGGTACACGCGCCGCAGCTTGCCCTTCTTCGGCCGCTTACCGCCCTTGACCCGCCAAGGTTTGCTGGCAACGCTGATCTCGGACACCGAATCATCGCTGAAACCAACACAGGAAGGTCAGACGCGCCTAGGCCAGTGGCAGCACGTCTTCCCTTAACGGCACGCCATGCCAATGGCAAGCAGGGCCAAATCAAGACTCCGAGCAAGCAGTACGAATATCACGCTCGCCCTAGTCACGTTGACGGGAACGGCACAGCTGGCAAGACGAGACCTGAATGTGAGCGCTTCACTGTTTGTGCTTCTGCTCCGCAATACCCGAGGCAGCTGCGAGCGCAACCCCGCTCATCTGCGGGCCGCGCTACTCACAGGCATCCCCCAAGACGGAGAAACACGGGGCGAACCCCCCCCCCCCCCGTGACGTTTATCCTGAGCCTGCCGCTGGTGCCCGGACTGACCGGTGGCGGCGAGGGGCCGGCACTCACCCGTCAGGGGCGGCCTCCTTCAGCCCGTCCGTCCGACTAACTCCCTTGACATCCGTGCTGTGCGAGCGGCTCTGGACGGAGCTGAAGAAGCTGCTGTCCACCGCCGCGGCCGTCGGCTGGCTCGGCTGTCGGGAGGCCGACGTTAGGCGAGGAGGCTGCGCTCCGAAGGCACCACCTCGACTCTCGCTAGACGGCTGAGGAGCGTGAGGCGTGCGGATAACCCAGCCAGTGACATGTCATGGAGATGTGCGTGTGACCCGTTGAGCACACAAGATGGGGATTCTTTGACGAGGCTCACACCCCTCGCATGATATCCCCAGGTCGAGCTTATATCCCCCCGAGAGCGGCCAGCGCCCAGCTCACCACACACGTGCCGTCGGACGGCCATCGCGCCCGCACCAGGGCTGAGTGACGGTCACCACCCGCCCAGCTTGTCACACCACCGCTAAACCAGGGCGGTCCTGAATCGCAGCAAACCTGGTAACGGTCCCCGGTCAGATCCATCCCAGCCCGGCACATGAGCAGCCCAAATGAGCAGACCCCACTCCGACTCTGACCTTGACAATCTTCTCTTGCGGCGGTCTCTGGCCCGCCGGCCGCTCCCGTGGCGCCTCTAGCGGCGAGCTGTGGAACCTCTGCTGGTCGCGGCCCGGCGGCGCCCGGCAGTACAGCAGCTTGCCGCGCACGAAGTCCTTGAGCACCACGCGCGCCGAGCGCGGGTTGTCGGGCATGCCGCGGGCGGTCATGAAGCCGCGCATGTCTGCCGCCAGACGTCTCCGCTCAGGGCGCGCGCAGAAGAGCACGTGGATAACGATACTGTTTATCGATACAATGGCCATCGTAGCAATTGCGTGGTCGTTAGGGCCACCATCGTGTCATCCGACAGATCATCGGAACGAGCCGTCGCTTTGCCATCCCGCATTCTTTTTTCAATCTGATGGCACGTATGCCCTCTTACTGCCGTACCCTCATTTAAATCAGGTAGTGTCCAGTGGCCCACCACCCTAGTCACCTTCCCCGTCGCGTTTCGCCTCACCCTGCCCCTCCCCCCAGTCAGCCTCCTCCCGCCGGTCCACTCACAGCCGTAGGCGTTCAGCAGCTCCTCGGAGGTGGGCGGCCGGTCGGGTGGCTCGCCCTCGCGCGGCGGCGGCAGCATGATGCCGTAGGTGCGCTCCAGCACGGCGCGCGGCACGAGGTGCGCCACGAGGTTGACCGGCGGCACGTGGTCGCGCATCTGGTCGATGGGCAGCACGCCCCAGACCACCATCTCGGCCTTGGTGGAGAGGAAGGAGGGCATCACCAGGCCCGGGCAGTCGCACAGGATCAGCTCCGTGTCGATGTGGAGGGTCTGAAACAGGGCACGGCGCCGCGTCAGGGTCGGCGCGACACGACCTCGGCCGAGGCGATGGGTACGCCTGGGTCCGACGCCGGGACAGCGCCGGCTCCGGGTCAACGTGGAGGGTCTGAAACACGGTGCAGCTCAGGGGCGGGGCTCAGGCGCAGCCGTCACACTAAGCTTTTTAAGTGATCAAGGCGGCCAGAGGGGCACGTCGCTACGAGAGTGAGGCCGGTGAGTTGTCCGAAGCGATATCCTGCAACAAAATTGTGATCCAATAACAAGCACACCAATCGAGGGTACATATGCGTTTGATTCTCATTGTTTTTCGTAAAAACGATGACCTAGATCCTCGGGGACACCAAAGTATTATGGAGCAATGAGGGGGATGCCCTTCCCTTTTTAAGGTCTTTTAACGCCTAACTGTTCGACTTGCTTGAGTATAGCAAGCGCGTAGGCGCCAGTTCCTGACATTAACTATACGGAAGACCCGTTCCCTTGATACGACCCAAAGCTGGATCTCAATTCTTGCCAGATCCTCGGCATAATTCCAGACTGGATCTTGGTGCTTGGTTCTTGGTGGACTGCTATCCGTATTCCACATCAGCCCTCTGTTATTGCCGAATCTCATCGCTTACTGCCAAGCTGGACACTGGTTCCTCCTGGCTCCATTGGCAGTCAGTGCTGGGTCATGATTCTTGCTGGATCTCTAGCGTAATATCAAACTGGTCTCTCCTATCAAACCTCGTTCCGGTAGCGCGAACCAGAGACCAGCTCCCGGAAGGAGTTGTTTGGCTGAGGTAAACTTACGCAGTAACCTTGAAAAGTTTGCCAGGTGTCAGTTTACGTCGGAACTTACGAAAAGAAGCACCATCACCTATCATGTCCCACAGAAGTCTAACGTACAGCCCACCACCGTCCATTAAACTCGCGAGAGCTTGCCCACTCACCACCCGTGAGGCACCAGCACGACACCGGCGGGAAAGGGCGTGCTCACCTGGAAGTGTTTAGTCTTGCCGGGCGTGGCCGAGACGGACACCTTCTTCGCCTGCAGCAGCGCGTTGATGGTGGAGCTTTTGCCGACATTGGGGTAGCCGACGAAGCCGACGGTAGCGGCGCCCTTCGTGCGCCGGCGTCCGCCGTGCACTGTCTTCAGCAGGCTGATCAGCTGCTCGCGCGACAGCAGGCGCGGGCTGGTGAACCCGCCACCGACGGACGGCGGCTCCGACTCTGACTCCGACTCGGGGCGGCGCTGACTCGCCTGCGGCCACGTGACCAGCGCCGGCGGCGCCTCGTCCGACTCCGAGTCAGAGTCGTCGTCGGCGGAGTCGGCGTCAGACTCGGAGCCGGAGCCGGAGTCGGAGTCGGCCGGCGCCGGCGGCGCATCGGCCTCGTCCAGCGCCGAAAAGAAGGCCGCCTTCACGCCCGCCTCGTTGAAGAAGTCGGCCCACACGGCGCGCTGCTCGGCCGTCAGCAGGTCCGACTTGTTGATGAGCAACATGTTGTCTTTCTCCGGGTCCACCTCGCGCACGTAGCGCTCTAGGTCCTCGCAGCGGTACAGCATCGGATTCCGCGCGTCCAGGATTTGCACCACCACGTCACTGCGGCAGGCGAGCAACGTTACGCGAGCCGAGGCGTGGGCGCGAGCGGCACCAAAAAAACACTGGTTAGGTTATTTATCGACGCGGTAAACTACTACGATCATTAGTACTGCAAAATGACCGTAGCGGCACCGCGGCCCACAGCAGTATCATTAATATTGTGATGACTTGGGGGAGGGGAGGCGGAGGCAGAGGGGCGATCATTAAGCTTCCAGCGACGCAGCAACGCGAGCGCATGCCACAAAAGCGTCGCAAGGCGGATCCGCGGGGAGCTGCAGGGCCAGAGGGGCCGCGAGGAGTGGCCGCGGCGCCAGCTCTCACCTGCGCTCGACCACGCGCCACAGCTGGCGCCAGAACTCGAGATTGCGCTCGTACGGCGTGAGAGTCAGACCGCGCGCCTCCTGCAGCTGCGCCAGCTGGCGGCGCCACTCGAGGAAGGCCAGCTCCTCGGCGGCGTGCAGCTCGGCCGCGCTGGTCGTCTCGTCCCAGGCGGGTCTGCCGCGGACGGAAGGGTCATCTCGTCGGGGCCGTCACGCGCGCGGGACGGCGGTGGCCGCTGTGTCATCGCCGGCGTCAGGTGAAACGCTTCAGACGAATCCGTCGCCAATGCCGGGGGCACGCCGCACGACGATTCGATGACATGGGACACTCAAAGCAACGCCTCGGGGCGATCCTGCTACAATATTTCAGGACGTAACGGACCGCTGTCGCGCTCAGCGTGATGATGTCATACAGTATATACTGCGGTGTGGAAAACAGAACACGGCGAATGGCGTACTTTGAAGCGGCACTACGGTCATAGGACGACGATTCAGTCGCCGTGCCAGGGCAGGTGTCCGCCAGCCGCGGCGAAATATTTTAATAAGCGGGCCCAGACCGCACCCGAGGCCCCTTTGAAGCCCGGCCTGGCCGCTGCCTCACCGCCTCGGTATCTGAAGCAGGGCCAGGTTCTCCCGCTGCTTCTCCTCAATCTCTATCAGTTCTTCAGCCGACGGGATGCCGATCTGGCCGCGCGGGTTCACAAACGTGATGTTCAGCTTCTCCGCCTGGCGTAGACCATAGAGCAAGGTCAGTCGCTGCGGACGCGCGTGTCGCGGCTGACGCGTGAGTCGCTGCGGACACGTGAGTCGCGGCGGACGCGTGAGTCGCGGCGGACGCGTGAGTCGCGGCGGACACGTGAGTCGCGGCGGACGCGTGAGTCGCGGCGGACGCGTGAGTCGCGGCGGACACGTGAGTCGCGGCGGACGCGTGAGTCGCGGCGGACGTGCGTGTCGCGGCGGATGCGTGAGTCTCGGCGGATGCGTGGGTCGCTGCGGACGCGTGAGTCGCGGCGGATGCGTGAGTCGCGGCGGACGCGTGAGTCGCGGCGGACGTGCGTGTCGCGGCGGATGCGTGAGTCGCGGCGGATGCGTGGGTTGCTGCGGACGCGCGAGTCGCGGCGGACGCGTGAGTCGCGGCGGACGCGTGAGTCGCGGCGGACACGTGAGTCGCGGCGGACACGTGAGTCGCGGCGGACACGTGAGTCGCGGCGGACGTGTGAGTCGCGGCAGACGCGTGAAAGACGCTGGGCATGACAACCTCGGCATAGTGCGGACATCATTTTCAGACTTTGTTTTGTAAAAAATGAAGCTAGATGGTAAGCTGGCAAGCGCATTGTTTGGTCACAAAACAACGGCCGGCGTACAATAAAAGAAAAGACAAATGGCGATCAGTTTCCCGCAACGGTGTGCCTCGCTCAGGTATGAGCGTTGTCAACACGCGGACTCATCGGTATCACCACATGCCAATGTCAGGACTGCGGAGTGTAGCACGCGGAAAATACTTGTCTTGGCGGCTGTGAACGGAAGCATGCGCCACGAGCAGCAATACTGGGGCGTATCACGGTGCACAACGAACCCAGCAAGGGAGCGATCGCCAAACCAGCCTCCGGTCGATAGCAGAGCTGCTGCCACGTTGATGTACAGGCACCAATCACGAACGATATTCTTCCATGAGCGATGTCTGGAAGCTCACGCCAGGTTTCAGACCCGATCGGCGCCTAGTGACGCGCCCCGGTCCAATGCACCGGGCCTGGTCGTGACACGGCGAACATGCAGAGCTCGGCGCGACCGGTCCGCACGCGTACTGAGCGGTGGGGCAGAGCCCGGGCGCGGCGAGCGCGCCGTCTCACCACAAACTCTGTCCCCGCCAGCTGCGCAGTGTTGAGGAACTCGTCGATGGCAGTCTCTTCAGTGACAGAGCGCAGGTTGATCTTGTTCCAGTCGTAGCCGTCCCCGAGCTCGGCGGTGTGTCGCTGCAACAGCAGAGGTTGCCGTCACACACAGGGCGAGGGCGAAGGCTGGCGTGAGCAGCTGGCGGGGGTCGGCACAGGACGGTCATCTCCTACGGCACTGCACAGCGCTATCGTCGATGGCTAGCTGGCATCCACAACTGTCCCCATATCCTCTAGAGTACTGTGCTGTCATCCTGTCAGGTTTCGACCCCGGTGGTCAGAAATCAATGCGTGCTACCAGGAATAAAAATGAGCTAGATCAATGGTGAATTAGAAGCTCTTTGGGGATAGATGTTTGGTCTGTTTCACAACAATCACAAAACAGTATACACATACCAAGACACGATGTGAGTGCACCAAGACTGTCTCGAAAGAATTGGCACAACATCTGCACTAAGACTGCCTCGAAAAAAGGAACACAACATTTGCACCAGGACCGTCTTGGAAGAAGGACCACAACGTCTGCACCAAGCTTATCTCGAAAGAAGAAGCCCCGCCCCGTGCCCGACCATCACTTTGTCCCAGTGTGACGAAGTGCAGCCACTTGAATGTCAAGAAGGTGAACAGTTTGTATTCTATTGCGCATGGGGCCCGGAGTGCACTGCCCGGTGACCCTCCTGTCGCACGGAATCAACCAATCGGCATAGAGCTGGATTGCGGCCAATCCAGCATCTATGCACCTCGTGCAAGGCAAATCAGGCGGGAAGGTCAGGGTGTGAAAACTTGGGGTCAAGGGGCACCGCATCAACAACACTCGAAGCGAGGTAGAGGCGGAGGCGGCGAGGCACGCAAAAGTCTGATAGCATTAAGTTACATTAACCTCCCTGGCACCCGGCTAAAATCATCGATGTCAGCAACAACCTGAAGGCAATGATATGCAATGCTGGTTTGCGGAATATGTGATGTAGTCACATATTTCTAATCTCCTGAATGAGCCAAAACGAAATGCACGTAGAACGAATGTGTCCGGTAATTACATCTGAATTTACGGCAGAACTAGCCACGAAGCTGGCGCTGAAACGTAAAAAGGAGCATGTGCGGTAGCCGGTATGAAATGAATAGCACTCCTATCTCGGGACACGCCCCAGGCACCAGTCAGCACCGCGGGCCAATGTCCGCCAGGCGTCACCAGCATGCTTCAAATAGCTTAAAGAACAGATGCGGTTTATACGTACGCATGTTCATTGCTTAACTTTCGAGACAAGACCCTTGTCCGAAGTGCAATAAATTCTACAAGTGGCTCGGAGTCCTCAGGCTGACTTACAGCACCTGATGCACATTGATCAGTTTCCTTTGTCCTTCGCCACTCCGCTTAGCGCGGTACGCAACCTTCCGGCCGTCTCCGCCAACGACACTGCACAGTATAATCAGTTGTATTCTTTCCGATCCTAAAGGCAAGTGAGCTCCAAATAATGACCTTGTTCGCGATGCGTACTGCTTCAAATTAAAGCACCTATACAGTTGCGTGCTCTGCATAACATAACTCGTCCAAACAAGCTAACATGACGCCAGAGACGTGTGATCAGTCACTGATCCTGACCATGAGCTCCAAGGCAGGGGCAGCACTTCTTATACGCAAAACTGACTACTCACCTGCTGGTCACCCAGGATCTTTTTTGACGCGTCAACTGCGTGGACAAACGCCCACCAAAAGTAGCCAACTTAGACCGGCAGTCATCCCATCCCGCCCCAGCCAGTCGTGATTTCAACGGCGCGTTACAGGACTTCTCTCTCGGAATTGTGACACCCTCTCTAATGGCGCCAGGTGCCTAGCAACTGCTGCGGGCACAACTGCGACCGAAACTGGGGCCCCTGAGACATATCTGCGTTCCCGTAGTACGGAGTTGCTCTGCTACACGATGACTGGCGGTTCTCATGATAGTGTCAAGCACCCTTCAAACACTGTGACACCCTCAGGCCAAACTTGGGTGAGCTTGTGACCCTAACATTGGGGCATTTAAAATACAGGGGGCTGGGGGAACCGAAGTTGTGCAAGTAACGCACGTTTAAAACGGCGGGGCCACCTAGCAAACTTTTGCACTGTAAGTTCCCATTCCAATGCATGCAAGAGCATATTCACAAGCCCTGAGTCATGATTGCCATGGGCACGAGGCCAAACAAAGGCAATCCTGCTTCCCCAATTTCGGATCCAATACCTGAAACTACCTTGGACCGCAGTGCCATGGCGCTGTTTGACCCCAAGTAGTTTACTAAGCGTCTCCCTTACAGGCTGACGCAAAACTACCCCATTGCGCAGACGTCGGAGGCGACGGTGTCCGGCCGATTTAAAGATCTACGGCATGCCGGCACCTTCCGTCACCGATGTCTTGCTGTACGAATGAAGCAAGCATTATGCCCAAGCATGGGGTACACCCAAGCATAACACTTTGAGGGCATCTATTAGTTCATAAGCTGTGTTTCATTAGCACCAATGAATTGGACCTCACAGCATTATTTGTGTCATGCAATTTGGAACAAACCTTGCATGGAAGCATGAATATCTTTATAAGCATGCACGACTAACATCAGAGGAAACAATGCAAAGGTCATGCAATCTAGCCTTTTCCTAACAATATGAACTTGAGACACTACATCTCCCTGACTGAGCACAATTTCTCATGGTTCCCCTTACACCATCTGATGTGACAGTGAGCTTCAATTTTCCGTCAACACTTCTCGCTATGCAAACACCGCTGTTCCACCCAACAGACCTGACTGCATTACACACGTCGTTCCAACTTGTTCCTGTTGTTCCCATCAATGCAACAGTTTGTTCATCATTCCTTTTAAGTGGAGCATTCAACCTTTGGGGAATATTTCAACGACATGACCTGCTTAACCCTCATTACCACTTACACCTTATCACAGGACTGGGTGCTGCCACTGCAGGACCATCATGATACAATGCATTCCTGCACAGTGTAGCCCCAGTCCAGTATATGTGTTGATGGAAGAATCTGCTGAGGGCAGTCATCAGGTGTTACACCTTAGAGATACCATTTTTAACCTGTTTTTATATGCACATGGTGGGCCTGCAGGCTTAAAAGTGGCATCTCTTTTGGTATGAATGACACCAGTGTATGTGAACACTTGTGATAGGAACTTTGTGACTGGCATTGGCACAGCAGTAGCAAGGCCATTTACCAGGAAGCACAATGGTCCAAGTTTGAAACATTGCACTTATTTAGACCATGTGATATATATGTTTCCCAGAGCCAAAGTGTGCTTCAACAAAAAAGTCATTGTGCTAAATGCCATGGAGGGGAGATAGAGGAAATATCATAGCAATAGCATTATGCTTTGTTGAATGCTTGTGAGCATGACATCATGTTCATGTGTTTATTATGTGTTACATCATCATCATGTGCTTACAAACACCAAAGAACACAAACATTAGAAAGAGCAATGAAAAGTATTGTCATCATGATGAGCAAGGAGTGTGGTGAGGTTTCTTCTGTCAGAGCAAACTTCACATATCAAAATTCTGAGCTATTATTAATAATTCTTAGAAAACAGTCAACCAACACCAATGGTGCATTGCATCAAGTTCAATTAAAGTATTTGGCATCAAAATATCTCACACCAATTTATTCCAGACTGATAAAACTGACAGAAGCCAGTTTTGAGCCACATCCTTTCCCGCAGTCATTTGCCAACATTGTTTTTTATCCTTTGTTAAAACACCTTAAATCTGCTGCTGCTAAAAAGCCTTTTGACTTTGCACACCCACAAACCCCTTACTTTTATTCGAGTATAACTTGGTGCGATTATGGATGACAAACCTGCAAAAGCTGATGTCACTACATTGCAGCCTGCCCATGCAGATGGAATGCATCAAAAGATGTCATGGCTTCAGTGCCATAACCTACACTAATTTAAGAATAGAATCAACCTCAGATAACTAAAGGATAGTATTACAGTAAGAAATGCAGAACTGTAATGTTATGTGCTACAGTACCATATCACAGTAACATCCATGTGACACAAAAATCATGATGAATAAACTCACTGATGTAAAACATCAGAATATTCTGCAAACATGAGCAAAATTGCACTTCATTAACAAGGTATTGCCCCCCCCCCCCCCCCACCTTCCCCACCCTCCAATGACACAACATATTTGACTGTCAGTCAAAAAATGTAAGTTTCTTGTGTTGAGCAAGCTTTAGCATGGACAGTTTGCCAGTTGCACCATAATACTGTGTGCAGCACACTCTGGAATGCCTGGTGGCAGACTAGCCAACTGACAAGCAAGTTGAAAATTCCACAACATTCATGAAATAACTCTCATTTAAATAGACAAAAAACTACACAAACAGATGTCCTTCCTTAAATCTGAACTGAAGGTGTGAACAATGGATCATTCTTCTTTGAAGGATATTAATATTTACAATCAATATTCACTCGCAGCCTCTCCATATATAAATGACTGTTGCAAGTTGGTATTCAGGATTGCGGTAATAACCTTAACAGAACATCTGTGGCAAAAATTTACAACCGGTGATGAAATACAAACATTGCAACACCCAAATACACTTTCTTACATTATGTCAACAAACAAGTCATCTACAAACACCTATTTGTACAGCTGTATGTTTGTACATATGGTTTTAGAACACTGCAGTATTTTTATCTTATCCATATCATGTCACAATACTGTTGCAGCCTTTTCAATATTAAAATGCCAGTCATAATTCACATCAAAATTATAAGTCAGTTCGGATAAGCCCCTCAGCAAATCTGGTTAATGAAGGGAGACAAACAGGGTGAGCAGAAAGTACTAAATTGACCAATAAACTTAGCCAATGTAACACAGATCATTAGCATTGATAATTGCAAAAATAGTGCAGGCAGGTCCTGTCAAATCTTACAGATGATCCATCGCCGTCTCCTCTTCTTTTGCGCTTCCCTTTGAATCTATCTCGTACAAGTGATTTTCCTAAATTCACTTTTTTAGGAGGCATTGCACGGTATAATTTAAGGTGCTTCCTACGCAACTCGTCTGTACCAAATGCTTTAGGTGGCCAAGGAGCAGCGCCTCCCCTGCGACGAAGCGTAACTTCGTCCGCTTATCCACGTGTGCGGCTTATAAAGAGCTCATTACATTACTGTCTACAATGCGCCAAATTTGTAGGACAAATACACTGTCCTAGCCGTATTTCACTGCTCTTTTGCAGATGATGCTCATCGTTAAATAGATTAGTTCTGATTGTTTTGTTTTGCAAGTATGCTGAGAAATTCTTAGGGTGCCATACTTAAAGTTCTAAATGCCATTATAAATCGTCCCAAAACTTCCCCAAAACCGATGCATCATTGCGTAACGCTCGCTGTCTTAACCAGGGGTAGAGCTTGGCGTTTTTAAGTGGAGAGGGGGAGGGGCTGAGTCAAAAATATTGCTCATCCTATAACCGAGACATATATCTTCACAAATTTTGTCCACTTTGCTCTGCGATCATAATTTAGACTCGATATAAGAAAGAAAGCCCTTTAGCTCCTTGATTTTCGGTAGCTTGAGCTCATAGTTCCTACATTTGGTTTACAGCATTAGATAAATCAGGAGGAGCTGATGAAACTGCGTTGTAGTGCTTAACAATAAGCACCTTGAAGGTACTCAATATTCCGAGCTATTCTTATCACTAAGAGGTCATCTCTGTAGGATAAGCACGGGACAGCAGATTGATGTTTGCATTTGATTAATGAGTCATAATACAAGGATCGGCTTCCTGTTTTGGTTCGAAGACGGATTAGCTACTGGAGAAGAACCAGCCCCTTTTTGGCCACAGCACCTGCCTATCGTCGCTGGCCCCAAACGTGCCGACAAATGGTGCCACTTCGAGGTCGCCACAGGAGGCTGCAGGAAGGCACACTTATTTTAAGTGGCTGCTGGGCTTCTCCCGGAAGTACCACTGGGGCTAAAGAAGGTACTTCGAATGACGTGATGACAATGCCCCAGGACTGTACAAATTTGATGATTTCATTATGCTTATAATCCAACAATACAGACAGAGGTGTATCCTGAGGGTGGGTGGGAGAAAGCACGGGTCATGCTACCCACTCCCTTTGACCACTCACGAGGTTTTGGTGTCCCATCATTGCCCCAAAACCTCATGGTGAAGGATTGCCAAAACCTTCATTTTGAAACCACATAGCCTTCGTTTCCAAGAGGCACTGAATACAGGGAACCGGAAAGAATCCCAAATTTCCATGCTCAGATGTCACCAAATTCTAGGGGCACTACAATATATGTGCCTTGTCTCTTCGACAGATTCCTGGATCAGCCCATTCGGCATAGGAGCCGAAAACCATTGTTTCCACACCATGGCCTGCATCTTCAAGAGACGTCCAATTCCGGAGAGAACCCCGAAGGGCCGCAAATCTTCATAATTAAAAGACACAAAAATGACGTGCCTTCCACTCTGAACCAAATATGGAACAGTTCCTAAGGCAACATGCACCAAAACCTTTATTGCAGGGCACCACGGCTTTTATTTCTAAGCGGAGTTCCTGTACGTTTCACTATGACCAAATCCATGATTGGTCCATTCTTCGGCGTTCGGCAAAGTACCACCATTTGTTCCACTCTTTGCAGTTATAACCCGTATTTTCCAGAAGCGCCTACCTCCAAGGAACGCTGCAAAGAGTCTCAATACCTTTATATTTGATAGACGAAAAATGTCAGGGGCAATTGCAATACTGTGTCGCCCCATTGACGAGATCATGGATCAGCCCATTCGGCGAAGCAGTACCACAACCTTTATTCCGCGGCACCGAAGCATTTATTAACTGTAGGTAATAAATCCAAATGGGTCATTGAAAGGCCCCCGAAAAATTCATTTTAAGGAACGCCACGATTATTTGCTCTCCATCCTGACGAATATCTGGATCGACAGCTTCCGCAAAAGAGGCATCACAAGACCCTCATTGCGGAGCATTATAAACATTAGTTAAGCAGGAACCCAATTCCGGGGGGGGGGGGAAGCACAATGGGTTCTAAAAATGTTAAAAACTACACCAGAAACCGGTTTTAAAGTCGCAAAATTGTATAGTTTTGACCTTGAACTAACCTCCATGGCGGACCCAATATCAATGGAATTAGTTGTAGCCCTAATTTCAATGATCTATTTATCCTCGAGAATATCTCAAAGTCGTACGACTTCGTCCCAATGTCCGTATTAGCAATGCCATGATATATTTGCCAACAATTGCTTTTGCTGACAACAACGGTCTGAAATTAGCCTGGTACGGATCCGCAACGTTGAAAGGCATATCTTGGTTTTCACCACAAGAATCCAGCCATGAGGTGTAAGGATCTTGGCCACATCATATGTTACATGCTTAACGCAAACTAATTTTTGTAAAGCACAAGCACTTCGAACTTGGTATCATTTGACTCGCGTTATGTGACAATATCGTTCGTTGCGAATTCGTTGATCACAGGCAGCCCTCGTGAGTTAGAAACAGGCCGGTAACCATGGTGTGGGTTAGAGCGGTCTCCGATCTTAACCATGACTGGCCCGATCAAGACAAAACGTCACGCGCTGACCAACAATACATGATTTTGTCAGCTGTTGTCAACCTCACGACTTAACATCACCACAATGACATTTGTACGAGTAGGTGACCAGAGCAAGATTACTATATAGTCTTAAAAATCGTTAGGACTTCTAAAACTACTAAGACTGCTAAGTAAGCTATCGTCTACCGCCAAACCAGGTGTTCATCAAAGCTATTTCACCATACTACTTCGATCAGATATCTCCGATCAATTGAAAAAAGTCGTCTCATTTCTTCTATACTTCGACTCGTGGCTCACGATTTTGTCACCTGATATGTGTGTTATGACCGTCAAATGACCGCAGAACCACAGAGGTAGTGCATCCGTTCGCAAACGTGCTCGAAAAGCGATTCCCCCAACGAATAATGGCTAGCCCGCCATTGGCTTACGCATCTACCTGTGTGCCCTCCGCGGACCGATTCCGTGGGCCGATTGCTTATGCCGTAATGACAATGTGCATCGCTCATCAGACCTCACCACATGCGTATTTCCCCTCGGGCCTCGTAAGAGGTTTCGTCACGTGATCATCATCTATCATATAGAACCGAGCCATGTAGACTGCAGCAGTTGCACAAGTCAACGACATGCTACAAGATTTAAGAGAAATCACTGGACTTTAATTACCACAGCCAGAAAACCTGGAGAGACCGAGGCAATCATTTCTGTCTTGGAATGCAATGGAGATTTCGAAGGTCTTTTTCTGTCTCTTCAAAGCACACTTAAGTGCTCATCCAAATATCTGCCTGAGAGTCTTAATGTGAGCGGGGATGTACGTGGAGCGCGTGCTACGCGAGCTGTCAGAGTATGTCGCCGTGAACGACACAGCCCATCTAGGCGCGCCACGGCAGTCATGTGGTCCAGAGGTAGATGTATGGGCAATGCTGGCCGCATCTTAATGAAAGTTCCATGGAATGAAGACACGTTTCTTTAAATCTTGTGGTGAAGAGGTTTGTGGAGTTTGTTTACAAGCTTTGTAACATAGTGTCATCGTCTACAGCAGCACTGCAAGCAAGATATTCCATAACGCTCCTCGTTTGATAAGGGTGGGAAGCGCAATTTTTCAGGGAGGAAAAAACTGTAGAGCCCAGGACAAAACTGAGTTGGCAAACTGTGCTAAGGAACTGTAGGCTGGCAAGTGCATCCATCCATACGCCCTCAAGCAAACCATAAACTTGCCCATTTCTGGACGCTTGCAAGAGCACGTATCAGATCCCCGTAACCAGGGTCGCAACAAGTGCAAAACTAACTGCACGGCGTTGGCAAATGCAAGAGCTACAATGTTCTGCGCGACACCATTGCGTGCGACCCACAACTGCTCCCGTGATATACCTGGGATGCGTCCAATGTTACGGTTGTCGGCGCCGGCTGCTACACAACATCCTGCAGCCCTAAGCCTTGAGGCTTTGACTGGGTCGTGGAACATGCATGGGATACTAGACCAGTTTATGATGGCCAATGCGCGGTCAAAAGTTTGCGTTTTTCACAGTACTTCGGTATCATTCGCGGCAGACGGAAACCGTCTTAAGCCCCTGATCTTGTTGTTTGAAACTACCAGGCATTGACGAACCAAAGGGAATCCTATCTTAAGGCATTGGTATTTCTAACCCAACGCCATAGCGGAAAACATTCCTCTACAATGAAGTAGTAAGTAACATCTATGTGGTGAACTCGCGGTAGAGTGGCATTGCGATGCAACAATAAATTCGTCATTTGTATCGGTTCCCAAAGGCTTGGACAACGGTAATCTGCTTACGTTTTAGTTGCATCTATGTGACGAAAACATGCCCTTTCGCCTGGCTTGTCCTATGCCCTATCCTACGCTTATGGGGGTTTGAACTGAAATAGCCATCTTCAATACTTTTTGGACCTGTACACAACCTTGCCCTTCTTAAGATCATAGCCCCTCTAGTTTGTGAGCTACACGTCCGCGAACATGCGGAAAGGTACATCGGGGAGAGTATTTCAAAGTCGCTTCGGCATTCATGACGTCATAATAACGTCATTCAAATCCTGCCATCCCATAGCCTATGCGGCAATCAAGGCTAAGACAAATATAATTGCCAAGGCGTTCCTATCTGGCGTTTGTCTGCGCGATTTCCAGATATATTTTCAGACACAACGGCGGTCAGTTGGCTCTCAAAATGTTGTGCAAGATACGATGATGTAATCAAACCATGACGTTATGAGAAGCATATTTACTAAACAGAGAATTGTAGTGTCTAGAGCAGTCTTTTCTTCTTGAAGAGTATACCAATGATTATAAGGAACTTATTTGATCATATCTGATGTTGTTTTGATATCTTCAAATGTGAAACACTCCAGTTAACCCTCGCCCTATAAAGGAAGGGGTCAATAATTGACCCCTTCATCTATAGGGCGAGGTCAAATGATGTTCAAAGGTCAAATTTCTCATTTTGAGACCTGTAAGATTTTCTAAGGACACCTCCTAGACATGTCACACTTCAGGTTTTCTAAGGACACCTGCCAGGCATGTCACACAATAGCGC